TAGCCTTACATTTCAGGATTAGGGGTATAACCATCTTTAGCTTCTGGGCAAGAGTCCCTTTTACTGCTGCTGCGTATAGTCAGAGGTGAACTTGTTTATAGAGCCCATGGATGGAATAAACAAAAGGAGGAAAAGGTTAGTCACGAAGGTATCTATTCATAGTATTCTCTCTTCTGCCGTATTACTCAAACAACAAGACATTTTTTGCGCCCCATCCTGGAGTCATGCGAGCCTCGCTCGTTCCGTCATTTCTTGACTCTGCTCAATTGTTCAATTACCAACACCACCACTTCAGCCCTAATCTCCTTCTCAGACCACGCATGAAGTGTCAACGCTACGAATCGATCCGAGTCCTCTTCTTACTCGGCAGACGCTCTGGCAAGTGCCTCGTGCAAGTGCGGCGGGAAGCGGTAACGCAGCTGCGAGGTGTACGTGGTGAGGTCGAGCGTCATCTGCTTCATCTGCTCGACCATCATGCGACGAGTGCCCTCGTTGCCACTGAACTGGCCGCCGGTGAGCTGGTCGCGCTGGCGCGTGCAGCAGATGATGGTCCACATGAGCAGATTCGGCACGTTGATAGAGACGGGCTGGGAGAGGCCGGAGAACTTTGCGGCGTAGGCGCGGATAATGCTCGGGTCGCCGCTGGCGTCGAGCGGGAGAATCTCGAGGCCGCGGATTTTCTAGAATGCCAAAGTTAGTCATCTATATGCGACGGATATGGGGGAAACAGTGAGTGGTTGCGAGGTGTCACTTACGTCCAGACATTGAGCCCATTGACCGGCCTCGACGAGGGACTTGATGGTGCTCATCTCGAGCAGGACGCGGCAGGCGACTCTGTTCTGCTCCTGGATCTTGCGGTGGAACATGGCATCGCGCTCGTACATGGACATCATCGTACGGGCAAGCTCCACGGGGTCGTCGATGGAAGCCAGGCTAAGGCTGCTGCCGGTCTCGGCCTCCTGGCCAGCGGCGCGAGGCTTAACGGGCATGAGGCGCATGGGATCCTCGCCAATCTCGAGGGAGATGGCCTCACTGAGTGCACGGCTGACAATCGAGACGACGGTATCGTACTCGCCAGCCAGGTGGTACAGAAGGACTGAGTCAGTGGTGCGGCCGTTCTCGTCGGCGAAGCTGGCAGCTTGGACGGTGACGGTGTTGATAAAGTCGTTCTCTTCCGTCAGACCGATCAAAGAACCGCGCTCCTCGATGATACCGCGTATCCGCTGGCCATCAGGGCGGATGTCGCCGATGAGCTTGCTAAATTCACGCGTTTCGAGCACGAGCTCGCGCAGGGCTTCCCAGCAGAGGTTAGCATGACGACGGCCAGCCTCGCCAGACAAGTCCATGTTGAGGCAAATGAGAGTCAGATAGTCAACAGCGGACACAACGTCGGCTGCTCTGAAGTCCCTTGTGTAGTAGCCAATCATCCTGCCAAAGTTGATCTGAACAGAATCCTTGACGTTCAAGCTGCGCAGATCATTGGAGGCGCTGAAAGGATCGGAAGGTCGGAGGAGGCCGTAGTACTCGAGAGCAATGGCGAAGTGGACTGCGTCGACGTAGGAAAAGGGGTAAAGGTACGCAATGGCCTCCTCGAACATGCCTGACAGTACCTGGAGGTAGAAGAACATGCCAAAGCTGCCACTGTTGTCTTCAGCAGAGGTCTTGGGGAAGTGCTTGGCTCCGATTTCCTTGATACTGGACTGCAGTTCGGAAAGGCCGTAAGCCTCGCTAGCCACCTCAACCGAACGGTCGCCCTCTCTAGCAAGGTTGAATTGAAGCCAAATCCAGTCGTTGATATCGGTGTTGAGGCCATCCAGACTCCGATTGTTCAGGTCACAGCGACCAATAATCTTGTAACAGGCCATCCGGAAGGGATCGATGGAGTTGTCGGGAGCGTTGCGCACACGCTGAGTGTACTCGGCATTGCATCTATCCTGCAATGTGCGCTTCAAGCGGCGGTCTTCGTTAGAAGCATAGCCGTTGAGATAGCTCTGGAATGTGCGGTCGATGCTGCGGAACTGATTGCCGTTATCATTCACATACGTCGCAGCTTCGCTGACGTGACCAGAGCGTAGCAAGTAGAAGACGATGGCCCACACATATTCACCACCAGTTTGCTGAAGGTCTGTGTTATCAGGCACCAAATCCTTTCGTGCAGAACGTAACCGGATGTAGGCTCTGATCTTGCTGACAATATCGGGGCGGCCACCGAGGTTGGCTTCGTGGGGGTGTTTTGCGATGAGGGCCTCGACTTCTTGAAGGAATTGCTTCTCAAGGTATCTGTTGGCACCATCCAACAGCCTCTTTCGCATAGATATCGAGCTGGCAGAGTTCGGCGCTTCATCCAAGTACATCTTGGCAAATTGCCGCTCCTTCGCCGTGGCACCATTGATGGTAGTCTCTGCTTCAGGATCTTCTCCGACGATCTCGCGAACAGCATGGTACGCCTCAACGATGTGTGGCGCATATGGGTCCAGAGACCGGTGCTCGACATCCGCGAGCTCTGAAAGGATGGGATAGGGATGGGCAATGAGCCGCGCCTGATTGAGGTTGCGGACCTTTTCGGAAAGCTTGTTCTGCTTCTCCCGTAGAGATCTGTCGTCAGAATTGATGTGGCCGGTCAACGAACCGCCATTGTCCGTGGACCGATCAACATCTGAGAACTCTGGCTGGTGAGAGCCGATCTTGCTTGCGTTGCCGATGACCGAGCGATGCATGCTCGACTTGCCCAGGACGCTTGCTCTGCCAGAACGAGCTCCAGTCGCCTGGCTCTTGCTTCGGCGCGAACGACCAAAGCCACCAGAGGCCTCTCTTGTCGACGCAGCGGGTCCGAAAGAAGACTCTTCACGAGCCTTGATGCCAAAGTGCTCGTAGATGCGCTTGCGCTGGGCGTCCCATTCCATCGTCACGTTGTCCTCCAAGAAGTTATCAAAGTCGCGGACCGATCTCTCTAAGCCGTCCGCAATCATGCTCATCGTCGTCTTCGTCTGGAGGTTCGCGAGGTACGTCTCGACGTCGATTTCGGCGGGTGAGTAGCCAGAGGGTCTCTCGACACGGCCAGTCTGCAGATCGAGGGATCCGAGGTCTTTCGCGGCGGTAGAAGGATCCACGCCAGATGCAGCGAGGAGGTAGTGCGCTCTACCATCGGAAGGACGCTCCTGAGCCTTTGTTCCCAGCTTCTTCAAGCGTTGGCGAAGGTCGCCCAGGCCCAATTGCAGACTGGGGAGGTCCTCCATGCCATTTTCGCCATCTCCTTGCTTCTTGCTCTTGGCGAACAGGCTGTCAAAGTATGCGCCTGACGGTTGACCCTGCTGGATTTGGGACTGGTTGTTTGTATTCTGCTGCGGTTGCTGCGATGAGGGGAAGAGTGAGCCGCCGAGAGTGTTGTTTGCAGTAGTCTGGCCGAAGGTCGAGCCCGTCGTTTGCGCCTGGGGTTGGTTTTGTTGACCACCTCCAATGGCGCCGAAGAGAGATGGCTTCTGTGCCGTCGATGCTCCCAGCCCACCCAAGCCTCCCAAGCTGAGTCCGCCTGATTGTTGCTGCTGGCCTTGTTGCTGCTGTTGTTGCTGAGGCGCACCAAACAGCGAGGATCCTGTCGCCGGTTGTGCCGTCGTCGATGTGCCGAAGAGACCGCCGGTGGTCGCAGGTTTGGCCTGATTGAGGTTTCCGAATAGACCGCCTGAAGCAGGCGTAGAGCTAGTCTGTTGGGTGCTGGTCGTGTTCTGCTGTCCAAACAAACCTCCTCCTGTGCTGCTCTGTTGCTGGGTTCCGCTAGTCGAGGTTCCCAGACCACCCAGAGGGTTGTTGCCGAAGAGCGACATATCGTAAAATTTTCGTGGTCGCGTCCAGTCGTAGGCTGGGTTGGGCGCAACGGTGAAGGGGATTTCGAAGGTGTTGTCAATGGATGAACGCGCTTGAGACAGCTGGCCAGGCGCGTTTGGAGGATGAAATTTTGAGGTTTGGGAGAGCTCTCAGCCAGAGCTCCACTGATTGGTGGGGAGCGACCAGGCAACGGCCTGCATATATTCTCCGCACGGGGAAAGAGTTGCCCGCCATCCTTCAGCACTTACGGCCCCAATTACGTGCGCCGTCTCCTCCGACCCGGATGAAGACATTCGGAGTCCGTTTCCACATGAGCTGGAATACAATCATGATAGCAGGCCATTACTGTGACGAGCTGCAGTGGCTCTGCTCGTGTTTGGACCTCTCATCGTATGAAGAAAGCATTGGATTGAAGTAAGCTGAGCTATTGCAACACCCTGGAGCTCTCCAGCCAGATCAGACGACTTTGTATGTGAGCTAGCTAAGCTACCGTATTCATTATCATGTTATGTATCCTGAGATTTATTTCCTTTTCCACTCGTCGCTCTTCCATATGACTGTTCTTATCTTGGCAGGTAGTGTCCAATTTGTGCGCCGCCATTTCTTAATCACGCAAGCACCGGTAGACGCAGACGGCCGATGTTGATTTGCGAATGACGGATATGGTCTTTATATGAGTGATACTGAGCCGACAGACATGTCAGTCAGCGACCGACTTTGCGGTGAGATACACATATAGTCAAGCCTGAATTTGAGGAATGTATTACTACTAAAAAAGGGTTGCTTCATGACTCGGCGACACCAACCCGGCAGATTCGGAAAGCCATTTTACAGCGGTGGGCTCGCAGATTATACCAACAGTCCCCACCAGTCGTTATAGTCGATCGTATCAATTTGCCAGGAGTTGAGACCCTAATTCGATTGCCGGCGGATGGTCAAACGCCGTCGGTGATGATGATACTCTCCGAAGACGAGTCGCAATTTTTCTTGTGTCGATATCCATCCAACGTTGGGGGAGAGCCAAAGACTTGATTTGACAACCGGAAGAATAAATAGTCTGATAGACGACGTCAACTTACACACTCCTTTGACATCATTATCAGACTTCGATTTTAACCAGATCCCCTCACACTCTTCAGGCTCGCGTTATTTTTGCAATTACAATCTGCTCATCAAAAATGCGTTCCGCCACATTGCTCCTCGTCATTTGCAACGTTCCGGCAATCTTCGCCACTTGCAGGTCCGTCACGCAGCCATGCGTAAGTTCTTCTGGAGATACCAATGGCAGTTGAGGAACTTGACTTTAACTGACGATATTCCCCAGACTAATTTTCAAACTTGCTATGGGTTGGAAATGGCATCGACCTGTGCTTCTGACGAGTACGTGAGTCGTGAAGGAAGTTGCCAGTCTGTAACATCTGCTACCAACAGTCATGTCACGGTAAGCCATCTCTCTTCCAATAGATAGAACATCGTGGCTGATCGAAATTTCCAGTGCGAGTGTTGTAAAAAGAAGTGAAAGAAAAATGGTTCGTTGGGGGTGCTGGGGCGAAACCCAGACCTTTTAAGTTGAAGGCGGCAAGGCAATCTCGTCTCACGGAAACAAGTGTGTCAGCTATCTGGCCCTACTGAGACACCGTGTATTAAGTTAGAAGATGCCCACGAAATAAGTCTGTTGTCTCTCAGCCACGAACATAGATCATACAATTAGAACAGCCCGGCTTTTGATCGATTAGAATCCCATTCATAGCGATTATTTCCCGGGAGTAACTTTATCGGCAAGCTGACCAAACTCCCCTGCTCCAAGCGTTGTCGTTCCCTTTGACTTTCCCTTCAGATGAACCAAGTAGGCTCAGGTGTCAATTCCCATAGTAACGATGTCTACCAGGCATTGGACCCGTGTCTAGTCCCGTGCCTAGGCCTATGACAGTCACTACATCCCCTGTCTTCCTGTCTGAAGTGGGTTTGATAGAATGATACTATCACTCATCGCTGCCAGTATATAAGCGTTATTCATAGGACCCGTTTGTAGATGGCAGTCTGAGGCTAGCAGCAACCGCAGGTGATGTGAGTGCCATAACATTTCCAAGCGGCTGACGTCCAACGACGAGTAAACCTCAAGTCCTCAAAACTAACATTATATTAGGTTGTGTTATGTCCTTATAGTACTCTCACGTGTCTCCGTACTTTGTGTACGACTAGTCAAAAAATTCAATGGATATGGAACATCAGACTATCTAGGATGATGTCTCGTTGGAGTTTGTAGCTGTTCCCGTGAATAATAATGATATCTGACTGCGGAGCTGCATACCCTCCCATCATATCCTTCAAGAAGAATCGTCTCTCTTCTTCACAAACTCCGTCTCAAAAGGAAGCCCATTCGACATCCTCACCGCACCATAAAGCGCAGAGACGTCCAGCTGCCGGCCGACCGACTCGCCGTACGCTTTCGCCACCTCCAGATTCTTCATAACAAGCGAAGACACACCGAGTTGCACTCCCAAATCCGTCGCAGCAGTCTGAATCTCTTGCCCGCCTAGAACCGCAAGACCAACATCTGCCCACGGTCTTTCGCCTCGTGGCGGCATGTACGCCCCGGTGGTCAGGCGCTGCGAGATCATGAGCCCTGGCAAGCCGTGCTGCTGCTGGATCAAGTTCTCGACGTCGGCAACCCCTAATCCAGCCTTCTCCGCAAGGACGTGAGCCTCAGCAATGACCTCTATCATACCGATTCCGAGTGAGTTTCTGTTTGATATGTCTTAGTACCTTTTCTCTCATAAAGAAGAAGGAAAAGAAATGTCTGGAGGTTCAGCTACTCACGCAACAGCTTTCAGACTGCTTGCAAGCCGCACATCATCTCCGAGTCTCAAGATCCCTCTACCCATCACCCCAACAATGTACGGGTTGACGACGTCGATGGCAGCCTCCGCCCCTGCCAATATCCAAAGAAGTTGTCCCTTTGCGGCTACGGGGCTGGCACCAAGGACGGGAGCCGTGACGTACTCGGCACCCTTTTCTCTCAACCTCGACCTCACTTGAGCTGAAATTTTGGGATGAATGCTCGAGGTATCGACAACGACTTTCTTGTCAAAAGGGATAGTCGCACCATTTGACTCTAGTATTGTGTTTATCACTGTTTCAACCGCATTTCCATCGCTTAGAGACAAGAAGATGATGTCAGATTTCGCGGTAAGCTCATCAAGGCTGCGAGAAACAGCACCCAAGGTTTCCAGGGCTGCACCCCTGGACTTGGTGCGATTGTAGAAACTGAGATTCGGCGCGCCCGACTGCGAAAGGTGCTTTTGTAGGTTGGTCGCCATGCCCAGCCCCATGGAGCCCAAACCTGTTTATTTGCGCGTGTTAGTGAGGTGAAAAGTAATGGGATTTCTAACGGGAAGGTCCAACTTACCTATCCATCCTAGCCTCAGGCGAGGACTGGCTGCGGGTACAATAACACTGCTCATGATGTAATGCGTATGATCCTGAAACTGATTTGTTGAAGTGCTATTTCATGATGAGAGCTTGGCAAGACACCTAGCTTTTTAAGCTTTGGGGAATTGCACATTGTAGAGCTGCCAGTCAGCCTTGATGACACTGCAAGCCTCCGGGGTAGGATCTAAATGTCCGACGGAGGCGGCGATTACATCCTTGGATTTTTAAGTTTAGAAGCATTTCTCATTGACGACAGCAGTTCATCGATAGCTCCTCATGTTTCGTATCAGATATCTTGAATTCTGTTGATCTAGACGTAAACGCGCATGAAGTGCTAGGTGTGCATATAAATAATCGCGGCATTCCTTCCTTGGCACCAATACCAATAAGTGACTTCTCGCATCCTCACTCAGATACTCCGTCAATAACAGCCCACCTCGTGACTATGGCATCTCAACCACTCCCAGTTCTTGTCATCATTGGCGGCGGCGGCATCGGTCTTGCCACAGCCCACCGCCTTGGCCCTGGCCGACGAGTTCTGTTTGCAAGCCGCTCCCCCTCCACCCTCGACGCAGGGGCCGAATCCCTCAAAAAGAAGAGCATTGAGGTTACCACGAAACAGGTCGACGTGTCTTCCTATGACTCCGTGGCGGCCGTCGCAAAGGCGGCCGCAGCCCTGGGCGCCATCGAGGCCGTCGTACTCACATCCGGCGTCAGTGCGGTAGTCGGGTCAGTCGAGATGATTCTGACAGTGGACATCCGGGGCACCGCGAATGTCATTGATGCGTTTGGCAAAGAAGTTGTCATGCCTGCGGGTTCTTCGCTTGTTTGTACCGGTAGTATAGCGCAAGGCTTATGCCCACCCATGTCCCCAGAGCTGGAGACGCACCTCGCTACGGCACCGCTCTCATCCCTTTTGTCTCCGAATCAGGAGCTTGATCATATGATTAGTGGAAAGAGCAGAGTTGCATATTATGTTGCGAAGAAGGCCAACTTCCTGCGGGTTCAGGCAGCGGCGGCGTCGAGGGAGTATGCCGGCAGAGGTGTAAGGGTTAATTGTGTTAGTCCCGGGATGACGGAGACGAACATGCTTACGGCAGAAAAGTCGGTGGATATGGTGGGTGATATGATTACTGCTGCGCTAAAGGTTCATCCTTTGAAAAGGGCGTCCGCGGCGGATGAGATTGCTCAGGCGATTGAGTTCGTTGTGAAATGCGGCTACGTCAATGGAGTTGACATCCTCGTTGATGGGGGAATCAGCGCGGTCGAGTTGTGGAGTAGCATAGTCTATCCTGAAAAGGCAGCGAATCTGAGGAAGTCCATTGAGGAATAGCTCTAGAATTCAGGCTTAGTATAAATCTGGATTTGGTGAGAGCATCAACACCGGGTAATCTAACTCGCAAATCTGCCAGAATGATTGTCGATTGAAGGGGAAACAGTTGAGATGATCGATCAGCTAAGAATATCTCATTCACGATCAGGCTCAACTTTGCTGAAGGAGAAGAGAAAGAGCTTCAATCTGGCTTTTGCTTTCTGACATTACCGGGACTTGATTTCTTACATGTTTTTAACATCAAACTAATGTCCTCGACCAGTATCGCGCCGTGATGTTATACCTCTTCTGTTCATGGTTGACTAAGTTAGTACTACAACGGAACCTCACCTCGGATTCTAAGGATAGATAGACGAACGCAGGCACTCAGTAACTAGGGAATTACTTCCGTGGAAATGAGACCCAACTTGTGGCACCCAGCATCTTTATTTTCCTCATAAGCTAACAACAGTCTCTGCCCAGACTTGAGGATAACTGCGATGCAGGACTGTTACAGGGGACATTCGCAAACCACCAAAAACTGGATCAATCAACAAGGGAGTAGGATGGATGACATGTCAGATGTCGGCCGACAGTGACGGACACGGAAACCCACGCCGCATAGGCGCACCTTCAGCCGAGCCCGTCAACCACTCACGCCGCAGACTGCAGTTATTGCTGACGGTGTGGGGTCATTCGACTTCTCAAAGGATCTGTCCGTCTTACATGTATAGTCTATTTGAACTGAATCTCGAGCTTCATTCTCATCATGAGACTTCGCCCGTCTATCGCCAAAGTCTAGCATTCTCAAGGACTTCTCCATCGAACGCCACAAGAACCTCTCCCAACAATGGCCAACCCAACATCCTCACCGCCCCGGTCCTCACGACACCCCCTCCTAACAACCCTCTTCACAACAGTCTTCGCCCTCCTCGCAGTCGCGGGCGTCTACTTCATCCGCATCCAACCGGGCCACACCTCCTTCACCCGAAACCTCACCGACCTCGTCGAGACGGAGAAACTCCAAGACGGCTCCCGTCTCTACACGACCTACACCGGCCTCAAACCGCTCGACCTCGGCCTCACCTACCTCGTCGCCTCCTTCGCTCAGGGACCTCTGAGCCTCAACGAGCCGGCCAGGATCCAGCAGATCCACTTCCTGCTCAACTTCTTCCCGGCCGTGGTGGTCTTCAACGTCGAGGCCTATCGCTCCAGGAACCGATGGAGCTTCCTCAGCTTGTAAGCCCCCCCTTCCCTCCCTCCATCACGACTTTCTCAACCCACCCACCAAAGCTCAGAAGCACAAACAAGCAAAACTAACACGATAACACAGTCACGCCGCCTGGGCAGCGCTCTATCAAACAGTAGGCGGCGGCGTCATAATTCCCCTCTACCACCTCGCCTACACCCTCCTCACCACGCGGAAAACCTACCTCGTCTCGGGCGGCGACGTGCCCCTCCCCCTCGCAAATGCCCTCCTCCCGGCCTCCCTCCTCATCTTCGCCCTCCCCACCGCGGCAATGTACTACCCCTGGTCCTCCCCCCGCCTAGCGCAGAACCTCATCGCCTTCTGGCAGGTCGTGCCCGTCCTCGTCAACGCCGGGATCTGGCTCCTGGCAAGCACTGTTTACAGACCCAAACAAACTCCTGAAACTAAGAAGACGAAGACGGCCGCCCGCAAGCAAACAACCCTCGTCCTCCGCCGCCTCTACTCCACCGCCATCCTCGTCGCCTCAGCATCCCACTTCTACACCCTCTACACAATCTTCACCTCCCAAAACAAATCCCTAACCCTGACAAACGTATTCCTTCCACTAAGCGACATCTCAACCGGCGACGTCGGCACAGGCCTATTTCAAATCTTCCAGTGGGATTTCTGGCTCATCTTTGGCTCCTCGAGGCTGTGGTGCGCCCTCGTCGTCTACGACGTCCAGAAGCAGCGGCAAGGCAGGGTCAACCCCAAAAGGTTTCTGGCGTACTACGTCCTGGCCAACAACTTGGAGTTCGTCGTCGGGCCGGGGGCCGTGTTGGCGGGTGTTTGGCGGTGGAGGGAGGAGAGATTGGTTGAGATCGAGGCCATGGCTGGGCGTCTGGAAAAGGAGCACTCTCTCTAATTGGAGATCAAGTGAGACCATATCGAGATAGCTTCCGACATGTCCAGAATGATTTACATGTTGCATCACTTCAGTGGACGGACCTGAACGCACAGGACAAATGTACCAGTGTCGACATTATTCCCCGGCCTAGATCGATAATGTCTGCCTCTATGTAAAATAGTTGGAAAAGCACCCCTTGCTATATAATACTCGACACAGCCATCTTTGATCCTCTGGACCGTGTCTGCTCGCTCAGCAGAGCTACATGCATCGAGACTCCTCGCGGTACTCCAACGAATGAAGAAAAATAACAAAGTGAACTATCAAGAAAGATTTGAAGGGCTGAAATTGCCCAAGTGAGATAGATGACTTACTGGTTCCGTGGGGAACTTCTTTCCGTACCGGCGCTGCGCAACGTCCAAGTCCTTAACCCAGACCCAAAAAACCGACACGGCATTCCTTGGCCGTGCCGGTCATCTTATCCCAGTCCTAGTCGCTGTAGGTAGGGGGCGAAACTCTGTTCCACATATGTCCCCCGCAAATATCAACTCCGTTTCTCCCCTTTGATCCGAAAAACAAGAACCGAACAAGGCCATACATCTGACCGAATGCGTGACGTAATTGGTTTGAAGCAAGTCGACATGGTCTACAGGACCTCAACAACACGGTCCTGAACGTTCCTGACAATCTCCGGAACCTGGTCCACCTTAGATCCAACCATGGACCAGGCCGCGGCAAAGTAGTGAGGATAACGGCTGTATAACATAGCAGCCAAAATACATGTAAGAAGGGGAATCTGGTTCAAGTCAGTCTAACGGGCCAATTTGGAATGCATGCGTGGTGGAGCTTACCCAAATGAACCACAGGTTCTTGTCGCTGCGCATGCCCTTGAATTTAGCCTCGTGGGCCCGGAGGAAGTTCTGTTGCTGTTCCTTCGTAATGGCACTCTTGCGTCCAATTCTGAGTACGCTTGGCACTGGCGCCGTGCTTGACGATGCCTCCGTGACCTCGATTGTCTGCGTGTCATAAATGGTCGCACATTTGATATCGGCAGCAGCCTCAGCGGCGGCTCCGAGGGCGGCGGCTTGTTTCTTGTCAAGTTCATCTTGCGGGAAAATTTCGTCATAGGACGGCGGCGGTGCCGAGTTATTGTTGGTGTTCCGGAACGATGACAGATCCCACCATCTTCCGTCCATGGGCCTGGGTGTCTCCTCGTCTGCCGATCCAGGCCGTGAGCCCGACATGCCCGGCATGAGCGAGGTGACCCTACCCATGAGAGGATTCTGCTGGAGGTATGCATGATAGTCGGGGAGCATTGGCATCCTAGGTAGAGCAGGCATCTGCGGGAGGTTGGGGAAGTGCATCGTCATGGCTTGCTGGAACTGTTGGATTTGGGCGGTGAACTGGTCTCTGACGGCTGAGGCAATGGCTGTTGTGGGTGACGCCAGTCCGGGCTGAATCTCGTCTTGACCCCTTTGGAGGATGCTCTGTCTGTCAGGGCGCGGCGTGAACGCATGGCTGCTGGATCGGCGCCGCATGTCAAGCCAAGAGTCTTCTTCTTCCTGTTCGTCATCTTCGTAATCTCCCGACGAGTACTCGGGGCTTTCTTCGCCGTCGTCTGCAGACTCCGACTCGCTGGACATGCCCAAAGGATCCCACAGCGATCTCAGGGACGCGGCACTGCTTGCTCTGCTGTGCAACGAGCCACCGCTCCTGGAGCGGATGTGACGCTCGCAGCGACGGATGTGATCGATGACCTTGCGTGAGCGGGCAACATCGGCAGGGCGAAGTCCCGAAAGACTGCGGATCGTGGGGTCGGCACCCGCCTGCATCAATCTGCGAACGATTGACTCATGGTCGTTCATTGCTGCAAGATGCATGGGAGTGAAGCCGCCCTTGTCCCGCAAGTCTGGGTTAGCACCGCGTGCCAATAGTCCAGCAATGAAGCGATGGTATCCCAAGGCACAGCCCATGTGCAACATTGTTTGACCAGTGGACCTTCTCAGATCAAGTCTCGACATTCTCGGGTTGTCATCTAGATCGATGAGCTCCAAGCACTTCAGAAGTTGAGATTCGGTGCTCATGTTGAAGGTGCTTCCGCCAAAGCCGCCGACACTACCTGAGGGCCCAGACGCACCCCAGCTTGAGTCACCCTGACCGATAATGCGCTGAGCAAGTTCCTTGACATCAACCATTTGTCCAGACATCTTATGACCCAGGATTGAGAGAGCCGTTCGAATGAGCTTCTCTTCGTCGTCGTCGACATACTTGAACATTTGATTCTGTTTGGACATAGCGGGGAACGGTGGTCCAGCTTGCGTTTGACTCTGCTTGAAAGTAACAAGAACAGCTCCAGAGACAGGCGAGGGAGGCAGAAGACAGACAAGGGATGATTCGCCCCAGAAAGTAGTTGTGGTGGCCTTCTGGTCGCCGAACAGCACTTCGAGACCCTGGTAGAAGCTGGCTCCGAGGATCGTAACCTCGATGCCACCAGACTTCGGACCTTCGTTGGGAATGATCTTGTGAATGGTTGGCTGTGGCCGCGCTGGAGCAACGGCGTTCGTCGGCATGTATGACATCGTGTTGAACTGGTTCTGCGACACCACGTTCACACCGTTACGCAGTCCACTGGGGCTTGCAGCGCGGCTCTGGTGTGCTGATGCGGGCGCAGAGAACATCGGCATGGCGACGTTGTCCATGCTGGCTGAGCGATTGGCATTAGTGAACAGTGTCTGGTCGTTGCTGTTAGGCGTAGGCGGGCCAGTAGCGTATGCTTGAGGCATGGGTGGTGGAGCACCGTTCTGAACAAACACAGCTTCAGGAGGAGTTTGGAAGCTGGTCAAGTTGGGCGTGAATGGTGATGTCGATGCAGAGGCAGCCGTGGGGATTGGATTAGGCATCTGCGTTGGCGGGGGCGTCGTGTCCAGGCGCGTCATTGCCATTCCTATCGGTACTCTCGATCCTGTGCTGGCCTTGCGCTTCTTGGTCTGAGGTCCGCCATGCGCGTTCGGAGACTGCGGTCGCGATAATGAACGAGGGGTAGTGCTCGAAGCTGGAGGTGCTGGCGCTTTGGCGGTCGTGTTCGCAACTGGGAATTGAGGAGCGGAATTGCGGTGCATATTTTGCAGATCGGAGCTGGAATGAGACAGTCGGAAGGGTGTTCCTCCATTGCTGAGTGGGCTGGATTCCATCGGAGCGTTCATCATAGGTACCAAGTTGCTGCTGTTGTTCTCCGGGGCTTGGGTCGCAGGTGGGTTCAACTGTTGCGGGATCGGGTGCGTCTTGTGATCGTCAGTGATCATTATCGATTGAGACATCTCCTGTGCCACAACCCGATCTTGCCAGTCCTTAATGGTGAAGATGACCTGGAATCCCAGTTTCTCGGCATGGTGCCTGCAGTAGCAAGCGATTCTCATCGGGGCATCGACTTGCATGGCACCGGGGGGCGCCACAGGCTCCGGCCGTCCTGTCACTGTAGAGTCTGAGACGACGCCGTTGGGTGTCTGCCACTCCTTCACTTCTTGTGTGTTGAAGACAATCACCCGCCTAGTCTCGTCACGATTCCACATCTCCTCTTCCTCAACCTTCTTGATCTTCTTCCTTGCGGCTCGTTTACGCTCACGGGTGATACAGCCGGCGCAGATGCGCACTTCGCCTCCGTTCTGCGGCTTATTCTCCTCATCATCCTCGTCGCTAACGGATCGGGCGTTCATGACGGGGCTGTGGGTGGCGGCTGCGGCGCGTTGGAAGGCCTTGCGCTTGTTGTCGTCGTTTTGCATCGCACTAGTGCACACGAGCATGGTGTACAGTTCCAGCATATCGGGTGTCCGTTCGGCTGGTGGCTTGGCTAGTAGCTTTGGCTTCGAGATGGTGTGCACTGGCAGGTGTAGACGCTTGATACCAGGAGGTAGCGGGAAAAGCGTCAACTTAATGGGAATCTGCGTCTCAACGCGCGATTTGGAGGGTGTCGGGTGGATCGTCAACCGACAACCACGGCTGAGGAAATCAAAATTCGGCTGAGTAAAAATCGGCATTTGTTGCGGCATCGGGACCGGAAGACCATCGTGTTGGTGGTATTGCGGTTGCATAGGCATATTGGCAACCATCTGATGCGCCGCAGGATCCAGCTTACCAGGCCAGAAGCCTTGAGGGTTCATAGCACCCATTGCGGCAGCGTTGAAATCTGGTGCGCCGGGCGAGGGCGAACTGTTGAAGAAGGCTGAAGGGGATGCCTCATGACTGGTTATCATGTTCTGTGACATTGGAGAGCATTCTCTCGAGTTGGTCATCTTCAATCCATTCATGGGCTGCGATATGGAGTATTGCTGAGTGGGGTTAGCTGGGTTCTGTTTCTGTTGTGTCGCGCAGCGAAATTCCACTCACTGAGTTCCGCTTGCCGTGATTTGCGTTTCGGGGATTGCCCGGAGCGATGGTTTTTGGCGGTCCATTCGTGTGAATGGTGGGCATCTCTGGCGACTCCATGCTCATGGCACCGGCTGCGTTGGGACTACTCGAAGCACTCTCAAAGTCAAAGGACTCGTCCATAAATTTGTCATCGTTCAAATCCAGGCCGTCGGGCAGCGTCGCGTCGGCATTTGCGCCGAACATGAAGATACTGTCTTCTGGACGACCGACAAAGGCCGAGGCGTCCCAGTCGTGCTTGACGTCGGCTCCATCGGTCATCATTACGTCGGCGGTCTTTCCTGAGGCGGAGCTGGCGGTCCTTTTCGAGGACGCAGAGTCGGAGGAAGAATCTCGGAAGGAGTCGATGAGGGAGTCGGGCGAGCCAGCGGCGACGGTACCGGTAGCCAGCAGGGTGGCTCGGGGTTCGAGCGACTTTGCTTCGTGAAGCGACTGAGGAAAATCGGAGATTTTGAGGGTATCGTGGGCGTTGAGATCGAAATTTGTCGGCAGAGGACTCGAGTCACCGAACGGATTGTTCTCGTCGTATTCCAAGAACTCGTTGAATTCGCCGGTGGGGGACATTCCCGGAACGGCTGGCATAGGGCTGGCACCGATAGCGGCACCAGCAGTCGTCATACCTTGGCCAGAAACAGTGATGATGGATGAAAGCTGTGTGCGTGTTGTGTGAGGCCCGACGACGACGGCGACGACGACGGAGATGGCGACGAAAGGGGAGGAGGTGAAAGCTCGGTCTGGGGATGTTGTGGGGAAAAGGGCGTCTCGTGGTAAAGTGGTGTAGACCAGGCGGTGGAGTGGGGGCCCACCGTCCAGTGTCCCTCTAATGCGAGTCCGACCCGGATTTGCGCTGGGCGAGGTGGGTTTGTGTTTGATTGTCGCACTGGGTTGGAGCCAGGATGTGCGGCGGATACACGGTGTAACCTGTTGCTGACGAGCGGCCGTCGGGGCAATTGGGTAATAATAGTCCTGAGAAATGGTCGGTGGTTGAGCGTTCGGAGGGGCCCTGTAAATCCTTCCTCTTGTTGTCTGTATTTGTTCCTTCGTACGGTGCGGAGCTTTTGTGCGTGGGTTGGGTGCTTGGGATTTCGTAGCAGATAGGGTGTCTATCCTAAGAGCACATTGCTGCGGCGCCGGGGAACGCAAATGTCTCTTGTTTTTCCCAGTCGTCTTTCCTTCTTCTCGCTGGGTTGTTCTGTCGGGGACTTTGGGGGGTGGTTGGAGCGAATGCAGTTAGGGCGTTTCTTGTTCTTGTTCCCTCTTGCTATTCCCCAGCCTAAGGTAGTAGGAGGGGAGGAGAGTGATAGGTAGTATCACTAGGTAGGTAAAGTGTCCGTAGTTCAGGTTTACGATGAGCAGAGGGAGAAAAAAGGTACGACAGGTGAAAAATTAAAATAAAATAAAAAAAGGCAGGCGAGGGCGGAAATTGTATGCCCAGGAATTGGAGTCTGCACTGGTGCGTGTACGTGCGTGTGTGTGAGCGGGCAGCGCTCCAGTCTCTCTAGAACGTCCAAGTCAAGGCGGTAACAATGTCTCAAAAAGCGGCCAGTCCCTTGGAAAGCGGTGACTCGAAATTGGGCTGGGCGAAGTGAAAGAGACAGGGGGATGGATATGTGAAGGGCGGTTCGAATCGGGGTGCAGATAGATGAAGCCAATCAATAAGGTCAACGCCCGTCGTTCCAGAGTGTAGTGTAGGTTCCTGGTTGTATGTGTCCAGAGTCCAGACCGATTGAGTTTGGTTGCAAATGCAGCGACCGTTGTAAGAAGAACGATAAGAAGCAGAAGCAGACGAAGAACAATAGCAACGAGCAGACAACGAGGACGACAAGATGAGCGGATGGATGTCAGCGATGACAGCAGGCGGCTATCGACCGGTATTGTGTGACCTTGATGAACGAGCGCCGGCCCCCGGTGACCGGAGACGATGATCTGGAGGCTACAACTTTCGCTGGATTTACAGGCGACACAAGATGATACCCAAGGGTTGCAGTGCTCGGAGTAAGCACCGAGCCACTGGCATCAAGATACAACTGCAGCACACAGAGGGGAGGTAGACGTAGAGTAAACAGTAGACACAGACGCAGAAACGACGAAAAAAGCACAGTTGAAGGTGAAATGGAACAAATTGTGGACCGGGCGAGTTTTGATCGTTTGGTGAGGTGTACCTTGGGTGGGCGTGTGTGTGTGTGTGTGCTGCTTCCGTGTGTGTCCAAGTTGCAGCATGTAAGGCAAGGTGAAGGTAAGTTACCTATCCCGGGCAAGGTCTTAAGTGATAGTAGAGGCGTGGCTGGATCATTCATCAATGTACTTTGTATCCGTACAAGTTGAGGGAACACGGCACGTTTGAATACTTGGCTTCAATGGATGGCTTATCAGGCTTCCTTGGGTATTTCATTGTCCAGAAAAGCCTGACGCAAGCTGCGGCGAAAAGGTGTAATTACGGTAGGCAAGGTAGACAGTTGTTCACGTATATCACTCAATCTTGGGACTGGACGAATACGATGAGGATCGGTCTGAAGCTTGTTCGCCATCAGGCCGTCCCATTCTCCGAGACGCGCTCGCTTGCTGTGCGTGGATGGGAGCCAGAGCCAACCTGAGGGGTGAGCTGAGAAATGGTGGTGTGCGCCTTGTCATTCTCTTTCTCATCTTGCAGCGTCTTCCTCGATCACACCTTGCCTCAGATAATGTGGCACTGTGGTCTCCCATCCTCTGTGAATACGTACAAGTGAAAATGGCAGGGACGGACGGGGAGATGGCGCTGCAACTCGGGGGTTGGAAGGGACGTCGGGCAGATATCCATCTGCCAATGGGAATGAGAACGAGATAACCAGATTGGCTGTGCGACTTTGCTGAGAATGCCATGTATCCGTATGGATGGATCCAAGAGAGTTGGTCTTGCGTCTTGCGTCCTGCACTTGCAGCTGGCGTTGTGGCGTTGGATGCCCAGTGCTCAAGCTTCCCGTTTGGGCCTGATACTCGTAGAGGTAGCCGCACACTGAGCACGCTAGATTCATCGAACTCTCCTGCCGGTCTGCATGTATCTGCGTGTACGGAGTATGTGCGTCTGCTTGGAGTTGGAGCTGTTGCTGAAGCGGGAACTGACTGACGCCCTGTGCTCTCCCTTTACTTCTCTCGTCTACGTTTCCTCTGCAATGGAGATCAGTGTCTGGTCTGTCGTCTATCTCAGCATCCGTATCTGTAAGGTATCCATCATCGTGCGCGCGCGCCTATGCCTGGGTTGCCAGCTTGCCTTGACCGGGAACAACGCGGCAAAAAGACAGACTCGCCTATTTCTTCTGTCCCCTTTCAGCTTGCGTCTGCATTGGTAAAGATTTATTCATTACAATGGAAGTTGGTGCAGGAACATAGTCGATTAACACTGAGGTGAGTGTGCAGTGAAGTCCCAGGTTGCAAAAGGTTGGTTGATGAGGCGTGGAAATTGCTGAGGAGGGACCCGCAAAAAAACTCATCGACGGGAGAAGAATAGAGGTACGTATCGCAGGTGCAGGTATCTAATTGGCCGTGTGTCTGCGGCGGAAGACTTACGCGAACGCACCGTGTGGCACCTGCGCCACGCGCCGCCAAGACAGATGGCAGTCCTCTCCGAAAGCTCCACTCGGTGCCCTGAGTCCACTCAAGCCACCCACTTCCTGGCCAATCATACACTTGTCTCGCGACGGTTCCTTGCTAGAGTCTGAGTACAGTGTGAGAAGTTTTCATTCTTCCCGTCGACTCTCGAGACATTCTCACTCACATCCCGCGTCGCCCGATCCCTTGGCCGTACCAACCGACCTCCTCCCACCACGGTACCACCCACCATCCATCCACCTGCATCGAAAAGACTGAGACTGAGGGGACTGATAAGCAAACCAGGGCATCAGCACATCAACCCCCCCAACGCCAGCGCAGGGCAGCGCAGCTAAAACACGCGCGTCCCGATGGCGGATGGCCCCTCCGGTACGCAGGACGGATACCTGGTAAATTATGACATTGCTCTGCGAGATGAGCCTTTGGGTCTTTCGCTTCAATTGGCCGCTTACCTAACTAACCTTACTGTGGTTCCAGTGTCTGCTTACTGTCCGCGGATACGTGTATGGAGTACCAACAGCAAAGTCACGAACATCACCCTGTGCAGCAATTCTGCCTGCCCGCCTCGAAACCCACTTCAGCCCAGATAGAGCCACATTCCTCGGGTCTGCTCCCCCCCAATTCCACTGTTTCTCATACCGGTAGGGCCCAAGGCCCAAAAGGCCCCTTCCAGGTTGCTTCCAGGTTCTTGAACCCTCAACTCGATACCCTGGGCCACTCCCGGTGGCTCAGGCTCTGGTCCCTGACCCGTGGCCAGGATGCCAAATGCACCGGCGATGCAGAGTTGCAGTCCCGCCGCCTTCCTTGCCTCGCCAGGCTTACCTCACTCGTCACTTTTACAACTCTGGCCTCGCCCCTCATCAACAATCAACGTCAGTCCTCATCATCTTGCAGGCAACAAGGAACAGATTGCTCGGTGCCGGAGCAATCTGGCCTCTTCCAAGTCCGGATACGACTTGGCTCTTGTTCGGACTTTTGCTACGCGTCTCTTGTCTCTTTGCCTAGAGCCTTCCCCACAAGTCAACAATACGCTTTTGGCCAAGTCTCGTGATAATACCCAGCGGACGGCAACCCCTGGGAGACTCCTTGAGTCTCTGCTCACTTTCTCACAATGTGAACTACCAAGACAGGTCAGTGGCCACTGCGGTCAACTTACCGTGTGCCCGCACATTGGATGAAAACAGTAACCTGATCCTCTCCTTTGGATCCAAGCTACGCCGACCCAGACCGGTGCCGCGGGAAACTAACTCTCTCACAGACTCTTGTCATCGACTTTAACACGCAGCTCGGCTCGTCTCAGGACGTCAGCGCTTACCTGTTGCTACAGCTAATGCAGGCAATGGCCCATGTATCCGTACCTACCTCTCGAACAACGGGACTGCGTAGGTTTGTGCCCTGGGTTCCTTCCCGGCCAACCTAAAGCATCGACACCAAGACCGAGCGGATCTTACTTGGTCTTGTTATGCATCGATACTACTACGCACCTCCCTCAACAAGAGACGGTACGACTTTGCGGCGTGTCCTGAACCTAAACTTGGCCGGGCCATTATATCCAAGGAGAGGCTACTCGGCTTTCCAAAAACCGTCCGATTTCTATTCCACCGGCCAGAGGCAAGCTCTTTTTCTTACCTTGTCACCGGGAAATAGCCTAGCTTCATTGGCCCATCTTTGGAATTACTCGTTGAAATGCAAGACAGTGATTGTCTGCAACATCAGTTAGTTAGTCATTGCAACGAACTGCTACTACCCTACGACGCAAGCCAAATCTAGCCACCGTTGGCCGCCTAGAGTAATCCCGACGCAAGAACCGGCGGAAGACGGGTTGGCACGATATCAGCCCGCCGCATTACTTGCGTCCGATGTCAATCATCGGCCCTTTGATAGGCTCCCGCTTCCCTCAACGTCAGGAACAGAACCCGGTGGTGAATGCAACCCTTCCCGCAGATGGTCGTTCACATCTGCACCAACAATACCACCACCGTCGCTACCACCCATCCTTTTCTCCTAGCTAAGGAATCTAGCAATTCATCCAGTCGATCAATTCCTTTCTGTCCGAGTCTGGACCTCAGCCCAGCTTAAGCCTTGCCGTCTGAGCGGGATTAAACAAACCAACCTGCCAGCCTCCTAGGAATCTAGGAAATCGAGATGCGACACTTGATTCTTCAGCCCCGACGTCGCTCCGAATCTCGCACAAACGCCTCCATACCACCACCTTACGTTTAGTTAGCCTTTTGCAATCGTGTGTCAACCATTCTTGGTCCGGTCGGGTTGCACCAAGCAGGAAATGACTGTACTGCGTACTTCTCCCAAGTCGGGTATGGGTTGCACAAAGTCATTATGTAAAAATCCTTGCACTTGGCTTAAATTGTGCATAAAGCTGGTTTTTCCATCTGACCTTTGATCGAAACGTACTAGACATCACCTGGACTGCAGCCAGCGGCGGTAACCTAGTCTCCCCCAGCCTAGAGACCAGCTACCAACCCCAAGAGCACCAATCAACGATGGGCCTCATACCACCAGAACTTGGTCTAGGTGCGGGCAACAACTATAAGGTACCTAGGCACAACTAGGCGACTCCGATGTGTGCGTGTGTGTGCATGTGTATGTGTGTGTAAAAATCGCAAATGGTGGACCGAGCGAATACCGAGTGGCAATCTTCCAGTTCAATTAGACGTCTACCTAATCACGGGTATTCTAGCCGGTTCTATCCAAGTTCTATCTACAACAGATTCTCTACGAACAAAGATTGGACAAGTGTCACTTGAAAGGCCAACTAACCATGGATTCGTCTTCCGTATCCTTTCCTTTTGCTTTCCTGAGAGTGGGTATCCCCCAAGAGACATGGGAATTCGACAGCGGCTGGTAATCCGGAATTCTGTCCGCCGCGTGGGCTGATTGTCTCACTTCCAAGTCAAAAGAAGGCTTTTGCAGTTGCAGAAAAATAGTTCTGCATCACGCGAAATCTTCTGCCTCACGGGGTTTTTCTTCCTTCTGCAAATCACCGAGGTGCTGCGGGTGTCTCGTCCGGAAACCGGATTGTACGACTTGGGAGCTCTGGTGGTGGCGGTGGCGGTGGCGTCTGCACCTGTTGTTGCTCATCAGCCACCTTTGTCTGAGAACCACTAACGTGTTTTCCGTCTTCGGGGCCTGAACGTTTCTGCTGCTCCGGTTGATCGGTCCGCTTCGTCCAAGGAGGGGCCGCACCCGGCTCGTCCGCGCCCGCAGGCTGCGGAGGGATGACTGAGCCGCCGATTCTGTAGATGGGCCTATTGGCTCCTTCCACGTCGGATTGGGGTTGTGACTGTGACTGTACTCGCGACTCGGTATCGTAGCCCGAGCCCGTCGCTGCTTCGATACCTTGAGATCGTGAACGGCCAAAGGGATACAGTACTCTGCCACGAATGCGGAACGAAGGTCGAGTGGCCTCGGGACCCTCGCCGTCGCCTTCGCCGCTCATGAAAGATATGCCTCTAGAGAGCGAGCGTGGAGCGTAGTAGCCGAGCTTGCCGAGCGGGATGCTCAGCCCGTGTACCACCTATTTGAAACTTCATTTTAGTTCTCGACGATTTGGAAGTGCGTCACTTACTATACTACAGACTGCGAGGAACCAGACGACGACTCTGACTATCTCGGGCAGGTGAGCGACATCCGAACGAGGTTCATCGCCCTCGTTCAGCGTGTGCAGAAACTCGACTGTGACGTAGAGGTAAAAGATGGCCGACACTCCAATGGGGCCGAAGAAGCCCACGAAGATGGCTTGCTTCACCTCCTCGATCTGGGGTATGAAGCGGTGGATGGCGAAGACGAAGGGTAGGCGCCGCAAAATCAATACCAAGATGCCGAGTGGGATGAGACGGTAGATGGGAATCACGTTGTTGTGAAGGAACTCGTTCCACGGGATGACGGCGCCGTACCACATGAAGATGGTGACGTTCAAGAGCATATCAATCGTTGGCTGGAAGGAGTCGTCTTCGGTTTCCAAGCGGAACCAATCGTCCCACGTAAAAGCGTTGCCGGCGATGAAGCACGCGAGCACGTCATCGCTGCCAATCATACCGCACGTTCCGACGATGAAGAGCGCCAGGGAGATTGCAAAGACCAGGAAGCTCTCCCTGTCAACATATTTGCGCTTCTCGGCCCATCTGAGCAGCGTCTTTGCGAGCCATCCCACAACGGCACCGTAGATGACGCTGAGGATGATGGTATAGCCCCAGGTTTCACCGAACCACAACCCCATCGCCAAGCCGGCGCCTCCAGAGACCTGCTTGCCGCCGTCACCAATGTACTTGATTAGGTACAAGGCGAAGAACAGAAACGGGTATCCCAGCCCATCATTGGCGCCGGACTCGCTGATGATGAGATTCTGCAGCTCCGTGGGTATGTTGTGGTCTGCGAAGCGGCCCTTGACGATGACGTTGGACAGCACCGGATCCGTGGGTGTCACGCAGGCGCCGACGGCGAGGGCGTGCAAAAAGGGGATATGCGGCACCAGGGCCCAGACGAGCAGAGACGTTGCGAGCCACATGCAGGTCATGACGGGGCCGACCAGCAGGGCCATGGGCTTCCACTGCGTGCGGAGATACCTGCTGGGCAGCTGAACGCCGGCGAGGACGAGCTGGACGCCGAGGACGAGGCGTGAGAAGGCGAGGGTGACGCTCTCGACATCCTCTTCCGTGCCGGCATACTCCAGCGGTCTGATGAGGTTTGCTGCAGGAGGAGAGAAGGCCACGCCCGCGAGGAGGGATATCACTGGGGTTTTTGGGTTAGCCGCTTGACTGCAAGACGAATTGAGAAAGTGATGTCCTGCATGGCGATCTAGGCGCATCTACTGCGACCCTTGACACCATATTCACCATTGAGGGTCCATTGGGCTGCGAAACGTGTGAACAGCGGTGGGACTTACGAGCTTCGGAGAGGTAGTAGTTCTCCTTGCATAAGTATGAGACCAGGCCGAACAGCGAGATCCAGCCACCTAACAAGCCTACGAGGATATTGAAGTTTGTGAGCGCGAGGGTGGGCATCTTGGACGGCCTTTCTCGAACGTGAGATCTGCTTCCAAAAGTCGAGAATTACTCAAGCTTTCGCCAAGGTGTCTAGTCGGGCCTGCAAAGCTTGGAAGCCTCCACACCTCGTGCGAGTTTGCGTTGTAGGCCCCGCGATCCCGTAGGTGAGATGATCCAATGAATGCGCACGGAAATGCGACTAGGGCCCGGTTCGCCAAGTTTTTGAATCACGAAAGGTGGCGGGTTATCTCTCGGTAACACAAAACGACAGGTATGGCGATACAGAGAGCGCGCGCCCTACGGATAAGAAGGTTCTTCTGATTTCGGATCCGAAGGAGGCCGGAACCAATACCTAGGTTTTCGAGCGGTACGATCCGAGGTGCAGTTTATTCTAGCCAACAGCAGATAGAAGATTGTTATCGAATCGCGGGGTTCGAAGCGTCGTGGACGAGGAGAAGAGTTGAGGCGCTTGCGTGGCTGACTGTCATTGGGAGGCCAGACAGGATCAACAACTTTCGTGATGATGGTTGCTTCTTTGGATCTTCTCTCTGCGACCAAGAGATGGCGGTCTGCACGCCTTTGCGGTTCTGGAGGGGTCTTGAGCTTCTGTCTGCCCAATGGGTTCCGAGTGCGGTGCGCAGATGCGGGCGGCCGAGTGAATACGTAGGCCGTGTGGGAAGTCTTGGGTGAGGAAGGTCGCGATGTAAGGGGAAGAGAGATTGAAGTGAAAAAAGAAAGGTGGCGGCTTGGCGAGGATCCAATGCAAGTGCTGTGGTTTTTGGATGTCGGGGCGAACGCCGCCGAGCTGTAGCCCGGCCCTAGGTTTTTCATCATCACCGCTGGTCTGGCGAAGCGGGAAGGAGGGGTGTCCCTGGTCCCCTGCTAGGATACCTAGGGTATCTGTTTGACCCGATGAGGTATGGCTCCTGGAAAGTAGGTATTAGAGTGAGATGATGTACGCTCAGATTTGCGATAATGTGGGGGACGCAGAGTTCAGCTGTTTTGCACAGGATGGGGAGGAGAGGCTGTCCTATGCGCTGGACATTTCCTGCCTTCCTGAATAGTGACAAACTATCTTCAAAATACAAGCTTGAACGGCGCTTTTACGTGCTTCTGGTTAGCAAGACCGGATCTCGTGTGATGCCCAGAGACCAAGTTGGCCCAAGTTAAATGTTGCAAAATACCTCTTCGAGTCTCTTTCTAGTCGATGGGAAACAATGCCTTCCTGGCCCTACAAGACTGTTATTGAACAAGTGCAACAAGGTGACAAGTAAACTAATTAGATAGTTTCTTGGGACTTCAAGCCGTTGCCAAGAATCTAGATCCCTTCTGCGCCTTACCTTCCGTTCCCTTCCCTCCCAGGCGCTCTCCCCTCTCTCGCCCTCTTGTCTCTAAACCCATATTCTCCAGCCTCAAGAACCTCGCCAGCAATCCACAAACGCCCACAGAAACGTGGGGGGCGTAGAGAGGGAGAGAGACACCGCAGAGTAACGAAAAGAATACCCGAATCACATTAGCTCTAGGCAGAAAAACAGACACACACACACGCGCGCACATAGGTAGAGCCACGAGTTTAGTATGGTCTCACAAACCGCCACCATGCTTATGAGACAAAAAGTGTTTTTTCCAAGACCATCACATACGCGCCGGCCTGCCGCGGAAGCAACGGGGGAGGGAGAGAAAAAAGGGTTCCCAAAGATAAAGATATTCTGCCCTTGGAGAAGGCAGAAAATCCTACGTAATGAGACAGAGATACTATTCGTAGGTAATCCAACGTCGGTGGCACGTTTGAGTGTCTAAGAGAGGGAGGGAACTTGGTCGAGAGGGGATGAAAATCAGCCGAGGATGGATATCTGCCGTATCTGGGACATAAAACTACTTAAAAAAAGCAGAAACGGAAACAGAACAGTTGAATAAAATATCCGTTAGACACTTGCCCCTATCATTCGACTTCCGCCACGAAACAAAACATTCGTTAATGGTCTTCTTGCATGCATAGTACGCCTCCAGGTCTGTACCGTAAACATCTTTTGGTGGACCACAACAATACCAGATATACGATCCGCCATTGAAAAATAATTACAGGATCAAAGGCTGAGAAAAGTTTTAAGGAGATGGGGATATTGACACAAGCAGAATCGTCACCATGCAATCAACCGTAGCCGCATGCGCCCGAAACGCCCCTTTGACATGACCGTCACATCAAGTCAACGACCCTTCACAAGTATGGCAATATTCAACATCGCCCGCATCGCTGCTGCAGACCCGTAGTGCGAGGGGTCGGAGCTTTGTCCGGGTATCGTCGATTGGCGCGCAAGGTCGCCCTCTGTTGACCCCTCCGACTTACTGACACATCGTATCCTATGCTATCGCTACCAAGCCGGCACATCGTAACATGACTTACGCGTGCTTTGCAGGATCATAATCATCCTCATCCGACTCTAATTTCGAGCCTATCAGTGCTGCCTCACTTGAGCTTTCTTCTTGACTTCGTTGGCAAAGTCTTTCTTGCACCGGCCGTGGCGAGCTCATCCGCAGCCCTGTTGCCTACAGATGTTGGGTCTTCCTCTGTGGTGTGAGCCTTCACCCAGTCGATGCTCGTTATTGTCCCTGCAGCCTCTCGTCTGTTGAGATGATCGATTATTGCCTTGATCAAGTCCTGGTTTTTGACGGATCCTTTCAAAGTCTTCCAGCCGTTGGCCATCCACTTCTTGCAGTCGCGAGTGACGCAGTTCTTTGCGTATGCGCTATCCGTCCAGATTTGGACATCCTGCGTGACCGAGGTGTACTCGAGTGCTCGAAGGACGGCGGTAAGTTCTGCTCGCTGATTCGTTTGTGGTTCACCTTCGAGGGGTTCAGATATGTTCCTAAATGCGTCTGGGTCAGTCCGCTGCCTCTGGCCTGTTGAGGAAAAGATGTAGGAGAACTACATCACCTCGACTTTGTTTGAGAATGAACATGGCGGAGGAAGGCAAGATGTAGTTGAGGACCTGCTTACCTTGCATCGTTGGGTCCGAAGTAGACGCCTACGCCGCCCCTGGCAGAGGGAGTACCGTTGCCCGCCGTAGCTCCGTCGATATAGATTTGCGGCAAGTTCAGTACCTCCGGTTTCACGGAATCGTCTTCAGATTCCTTCTCCATCTCCTCCTCCACCCCATCATCGTTCTCCTTCTTCACCTTCGTGGCCTTCGTTGCGGCGCTGGTGGCTGGCTTCCTCGGCAGAACCTTGATACCCGCATTCAGGGCGCCGGCCTCAGCACCGGCAATCGTTTCCTCATTGCCCCATTCCCTAATGAACTCCAACGCGCCGGTGTATGTGTCGAATCTCTTATATTTAGGCCCTTTGGCATCCTTGATCGCTAGGGAAACCGTATCCCAGTCGTTGACGAAGATGCCCGTGAAATGACCACGCGCGACGGCATAGTATCTCGGAGGAGCGGGCTTTTCCCCGGCTGGCGCTGGTACGAACTTTCCTTCCACAAAAGCCTGAGCCTCTTCGCGTGTGAAGAAAGACTTGTCTAGAAAGCAGCCTCTGTCAGTCGCACCGGTCAAGAAGGCCTCCAAACTCCACAGTGGTATGGTCAGTTGTCTTCACATACATATTGCTCCTTTTTGATGAGCAGTCTGCTTCTGGCATTCGAGCCAAGTCAAATATACACCTGGCCGGAGACCGACACGCACAGCGTAGTATCTCTGCAGGTCCTTGTCCGCCTTGCGCTTCCTCGATTTGTCCGCAGGCATGTCGACGCGCTCGTTCAGGAAGCTTGCGTGAAGCTGTAGGGTGTCACGGCAGCCGTTGCGGATGTCGCCCGGTCTGCCTCGCCAGGTCGTGGCGTTTCGTCGTCTTAAAAGTACCGATGAGAGAAGGCGACAGCTTACAGAAGCTCGGGGATGAAGTTCGTCCACAGCTTTTGTCCAGAGAGCTTGAAGTCGCGAGCGCATATGTCGTGGCCGTTACAAAGCTACCTGGTTGGTGTCGCGTAGTTCAAGAGAGTCAAAGGCGACTCATGCTGGTGGCTAGAAGGGTCTCGAAAGCTGCAGTTCCAGGGCCGTTTCCTCAGCGGTTGCCTTTGTTCGTGGGCGCATGCCGAAACATGTAACGGGAAAAGAGTGAAGATTGCGGCAAGGGCTGGTGACGAGGGGACCACTTCAATGGATGAGAGTATGGATCAGTTCTTCCAGTGCGGGCCTTCCTCACTAGGCGCGCCGATAAGATAAGGCGCATCTCTTCCCCGCAGGAAGCACGACCGCTGTAAAGCTTGCCGACCCTTAGCGCAGTCTGACTCTGTACCTAAGCATACACCGTGCTATTACCTACCTTATCCTGTATTTACTTGTATTACTTTTGTAGGGCAAGTGAGTGCAGGCTGCAGCCAATACCACTTGGATGCGGGTCTTATATCAGCTGGAACTCTTTCCCAGCGGTTGTTCTTATGTGACTCTGGGATTTTAGAGAGTGAAGGGGTATATCTTCCCTCAACCACTGCTCATCACAGCAACTATGGACGATGAAGACTTGATATAAGTTGCTTGGGCATTGCTAAAGTTGCCGTCTGCTACAAATGAGACAGCATGGGTATAATTCCTGACCAGCCTACCGTCACACGACTCTCGAATCTCCCTCATCCCGTCAGACATTCCACGGGAGCTGAAAGGACTATCTAAACCCTCTGCTAGCCCTTCCAACCAATTTCTCAACCAAATACAGTAGGTAAAATGTAAAGCGCAAAAGCCGCCTACCAGCTGCCTCAGAGCTTGGGGTACAGGGTGTATCGATACTAATGCATCGAGACTACCGTCAACTTCCACAATCGTTGGCATCCCGGCACACAAAGACTGTTCTGGCCTAGGCCGGTTTCCCGACCATAAGCACCAAGGTATCGTCGTAAAGTCCCATGGGGACTAAGCATGGACTCTGTGATCAACCGGCGGCAAAGGTCCCACGCAGTCGCTCGATTCCCACTCCCACGCCAACAAGCTCCAGTTCAGCTCACGTCTCCAGAAGAGGCCAAGACCCTCGCCTCCACCGCAGTTCTCCAGCTCGGGATGGCCATGTCCTCGATCTTCCGAGCACATGCCCCCAGTAAGTGGCATGCGTTGAGCGAAGACGACCTTGCCCATCCGCGAGTGAAGGATAGCCATCGAGCATTGGACGCAAGGCTCGTGAGTCAAGTACATCTCCATACCGTGGCACAGGTAGCCGTCCGCGTTGGGATGCTCGTCTTCATGGACCGTAAGCTCGTCTTCCAAGAGCGGAAGATCTTGAAAAGTGTCGTATTCAAGGATAGCCGGCACGTGGGAGCGGCCGGCTGCACGTCTCTCGTGTCGCACAAGCTTCTGCGCCACCATGCTGATAGCTCTGAGCACGCAGTGACCCATGGGGTTGCCGGTACCGCTTCTATTGGGCTCCTGGTGCCAACGAGCATCTCCGGCAACCGCTACGAGGTGGGATTTTCCCCCTTCGCGCTGGACGATGACGGCACCCATGGGTTCACCGATACCCGCCTTCTTTGCCTGGAAGGCGACGCGATGGGCCAAGGTCATCCACAGAGATGTCTCATCCTTGATAGTTTCCGTTGATCGTCCCACCATGCTAGGGTGCGGTCCAAGAGGGTTGTTCTTTCTATACACCGTAGGCCAGAACTGCGAGGTCCACATAGCTGCCTGCACCTGAGAAGTAGGCGGTACCATGGGAATCGGGATCTTGGTGAGGAAGACGCTCTCATCCATTCCTTCGATGGCTCTCAGCTTTGCGACCAAGTCGTGCTTATCGAAGTCTTTCTCTTCACCAAGCATGATGTAGATCCAGGTGGATTTACCCGTGTGGACTTGGCGGCCTTCGGGGGAGTCGTTCATGAACTGTGTTTTGAGATGAGCCGGGATATCCGCTGGCTTCGCACATCTTCGCAAGTGAGGCAAGTTGTTAGCCACGCCTTCAGGGAGCATCGAGCGGATCAGACTAGAGTCAGGTTAGTATGTGATAGAAACGTGATGACTGCTACTCACTTGACGACATTGTTAGTAGACGTAGATGGAGCCCTCGTGATCAAAGCCTGAACAATGGTGTGGTCTTGTCGGATTTCCAAAGTCGTCTTCAGAGGAATAAGCACTCCTCGGCCAAGTTGTTGTGGAAGCAGGTGGTCGATGAGAGCATGGGGCTGGATGACATCAGGTCCAGTGTGCTCGATCTTTTCCTCAGATTGATCGTCAGGCCTATCAGAGGCCATAGCCGGCAGCGAGGCGCGTTCGACAGCGAGCATCTTGACTGGTGATCTCCCTTCCAAGATTTGGGCAGAAAAAGCAGGAACTGGTGTTTTAGTCGGAATAGATGGGGGTGCGTCACGCCAAAGCCGTGACTCACTTCAACAAGAAAGTTATCGTATCTCGACTTCGGCCTTCCGAGGCACAGGACGACCGACAGAGAGGGCTACGGAGATAGCTGCCGTGTACCGCTGTGGCGTGCTGTGAGCGAAGTGTGGATCAACAGACGACAGGACGACTGAAGTAGCTCCACGATGGTTTCCTGAGGAGTAATGTAGTCCCTTGGGTGAAGAGTCCAGTCAGAAGCCTGTCATCAAAGGTTTGCTGCTGGAATCTGATGCGGCTCGTTTGGCTTTGACGTTGTCAAACAGGGTCAAGATCGGACGTAGCGGAGAGTTTGCCGAGCAGTCAAGAAAACAGAATGATGACCAGAGAAGATTTCCAGTCAAGTCCTTGTGCGACCGACGGTTGATGTAGGTGGCACACCTAGTTCCTTCTTGAGAAAGACAGATATGGCGTCGTGTCCTCGATCTCCAGCTGTTCTACCCCCCTTCCTCCGTGCTGTGAGGGCTGGATAATTCTGTAAGGGAACGACAGGCCAGCGCAATTACCGCAGTTGGTAGGGACGAGATGAAGGAGGCTGCGAAGTTGCTTTTGGTCCAAAGTGAGGTGCACTCATGTAGTACCTTGAAGCAGAACCCAGCGGAAGGAAGTCACGAGAAGCAACTTGATGATGGGGCCCACACTGCCTCAGGAAGCTACTTTGGAAGGCAGAGCCAGGACGAATGAAATCGTGACCCGGGACGCTGACCTGGAAGGCGCGGAAAGGAAGGCACCCGACCTGCACCTTCAGCTGCTCTTCTGCTCTTGCCTCAGATCAGATCCTGTTCACTTCCAGCCCCGAGCTGCTTTGTTTATCTCCTTCCGTCCTTTGACTCTTTTTCAGCCTTGTAGACAAACTTGATTCTCGGTCACTTCTCTAGAAAGATTGTGTGCGGTGCACAAAGCCTTCCGTCGATTCAGGAGGCAAGTTGAGGTGCAACGATATTTGCCAAGATATCTGGAAATGCGCCAGATATTATTGGAACCGCTGATTGGCGGGTCCAAATATCTCGTTCGGAGAGTCTCAGCGTTGGTATCAGTCTCAGCCTCAGCTTTCCATCTATAGATGAATACAAGACGGATGTAACCCAAAGACTTGAAGATCAATGTTCTGCCGGGTCCTGAAACAGCAGGGTCCAGATTTGGGACCAAACAAAGAAACGAGAACAGAGGAAAGAAGCCCTATCGGATTAGATGGCGTCGTTGTTTAATGGATAGTGTAGCTGGAGGCCAAGAGGATCCGGATCTGGAAGTGGTTTGAGCTGTGGTATCGAACGGCGGGGACCGAAGTGAAGCATCAGAAAATTTGGCGATCTATTTGACAGACTGGATCCCAGTAGGCCAGGCGTTGTCAGGCACAGAGAGCCCCTAGTCGAATCGGGTTGCAGAGGCAGAGCCGCTAGCGGGGTCTAGGGTCTTATCGATAAAGTGACAGGCTACTCACGCACCTCGGTGTAGCCAGTCCGGTCCTAGCAGTGACCACTTCGCCGACGGGACATTTGGATTGTGCCTGCGACGTCTAAGGTATTTCCAGATTCGTGACATGGGGGTAAAGAGCGGGGCGACTGTAAGAATACCTAGCATTTGCATGGAGAATCTCTTTGGCAATCACCACCAGGGAGTTTCTCTCCCGTTCTTGTCCATAGTGTTTGGGCAACTTTCATACTTTCCCTTAGAGTTGTGCTTTCTCTGGAGAGATCAAGAGGCAAGAGAAGAGCGGGAAGGCGCGAAAGCCCAGGGAGATCACATCTGTAACCATGGGGAGGAGGGGATCGACTGAAGCAAAATGCCCAGCGACTGGAGAAGGAGCTGGAGAAGACTGGAGAAGGCATGGAATGTGAGAGGCAAGAGGCGACTAGGGAGAAGCACTTCCACCACTGAAACTAACCGAATACCTCTTACAGGCCCATCAGGATGAACAACGCGAAGCAAGACAAAACCTCACCTTACCTCACCTCACCAAAAACACTCACCGGCAGGGTTGGAAATTAGTCTAGTCTAGTCTAGTATGGCCCGGACTAATACTAGGCTAGTCTAGTACGGCCTGGACTAGTACTATACTAGACTAGTATTAGTATACTAATTAGTATATATTGAGAAAAAATATTTATAAATTAATAATTAGTAATTAATTATAAATATTAATATATATTAAAATAAAAGTATTAAAAACTTACTTTGTATAACTTTAAAAGTCTAAATATTATTATTTAGATAGAATATTCTTAAATTTGTAGTTTTTTATCAAACTTTTTAAAAATTCAAAAATGAAATTATTAATATTTTTTCATTAAATAGTTTTACTTATATTTATTATAGAAATAATTTTTATTATATTTTTTAGAATTTTTTTAGAATTAATTAAAACTAATATTTAAGTTTTTAAAAATAGTAATAAAATTACTATGAATAGTATATTTTGTATTAATTAGTATATTATTAGTATACTAATACTAGTCTAGTATTTTCAAGGGTGGACTAATACTAGACTTACTAGTACTAGACTAGACTAATACTAAATACTAGTAGTATTTTTTCCAACCCTGCTCACCGGTCGGGCCTCACCTCTATTAAACGAAGGTTTCTTAGAGGTAAGTCCACACATTCCATACCCCCGGTTGAGCTCTTTCAACAGAGATAAGCTTCTAATTCTGTAGTTTTGGTTGGTTCTTTTCGCAGTGCACTGTCTCATAACGCCTGAGCAAGCCAAGAGTGGTAGACAAGTCGACTTTTCGGCTCTCATCATCCGTGCCAACATGCCTCCATCATGGATCATCTCATTGGTTATCAACATTTGGTCCGTGGCAGAACGAGTCTCACAAGCCAGACTGTGTTCTCTCTCAAAGGTGCCGCATCTGAATTAGAAATGCAATCGCCCAACGGTAACTCGACCCCATGTGTGAAGGGCCCATCGCCTATTTCCCAATCTCCGATGACGGCACGCCCTCCTGGCCGGCCCCCGCCGGCCGCGACTGCAAGTCATACCCATCGCTAAACGCTCTTGCAAGGTCGCAGTCGCAACGCGTGTCGGCCGTATCTCCTCTCCGCACTACGCTTCAAATGACGCTTTCGCCATCGCAGATCCAGCAAGCGTTCCTTGACGTCTTGGCGAGAATGCCTCTGCGACGGAGCAGTTGGTCCCTTGATTGTCGTCGAGGTGGCCATGACAGTGGGCTTCTAGAAAGCGAACGGCAAACCCTGCCGCGAACCCCTCACGATGCATGCGGGGTCAGCAGCAGAAGCGGAATAGACTACCAGAGACTAATAACGCCTAAACTTCGACACCTGGTGGAGACCACAGAGTGGCGGCGCGGCGGCAATAGCAGAAACGAGGAGTGCGAATGAGGGCCGCGCCGCCGGCGTCTGGAGCACCTGGAATTGCCAACCCTCCCCTACACACTAGAGATTTGGGAGCTGAGAAGTCACAAATGTCTTTGCTGCAGCCCGCATCCTGCAGTGTAACAGGAGAACCTTCTGCAAAAGAGTCTTGGAGTGGGGGTACCACGCCAAATTCCTCCTTCGTCATCCATGCCCAGTCCCTGTTTCTGGCGTGAAGCATGAAAGCAACCTCGCAACTGGACTGTTGAAGATGATTGGCCGCTGCGGTTGAGGTACCAGTGGTCATTGGCATGGCGGGATGACTGGGCGTTGGGTGGAAGCCTCACTCGCCCCGAGAACGATGACATGGCGCCCTCAGACTTTGGCGGGGCATACGGATGACTATCCCGCCATTCTGCAGGTTGTTTTGTGTATGTACAAAATCGGGCTTACCATGGGCTTTTCCGTTTCACAGGGGCAAGATCTCAATGTGCTGGAAGGGCATATGGGTGACATCACCGCCCAGACCTGAGTGAAAATGAGCATCATGAGCCATCTTTCTTTGCAGAAATGTCTAGGAAGATCGGGCTGGCTGGTGTTTGGCAGTGACAGAATGCTTGCTGTCAAGACTCAAATGCAGCCCTGGCATCCCCACAACATGTCGAACAACTGGTAGGGGTTCCGTGAGGGGTTCACAGGTTCGCCAGGAGCGCAGCGGATCCTTGGTGGGAGCGGATCTCCGGGGGCGTGGAGGTTCCTTTTCCAGCCTCCGGACTTCGGGGTGATTCCGACAGAAGGTCAGCCCAAGCGCTAGGTGAGTTGTTGCAACGCCAACAGAATATGTAATGACCATCACCGGCACGCGACCCTGGAGATGGTGTGTGTCAAATCATGCTGTGCACCCTTCTCGGAGACGCCTTGTTGAGCGCCGCCGGAGACTTGTTGCAGCACATCGGAGGGATACCTGTTGCTACACCCACTACTGGATAGTACCTACTCATTCAGCAAGAAATAATCGAGAGAGGTAACCTCGAAAAGGGGCTATCAAAGCTAGGTACGTGGCCACCTAGAAATGGAACAAGGCGATCAACCGCAAGGATAAGCTTTGGGCAAGTGTCGAAGGCGTGTTGGCGAGGGCTGATGTGAGTGGTCTATTCCGGTTGGCTTGGCTGAGAGCTGGAATGCTTGAGAAAGATGGGATGGTTGTAGAATAGCTCTGGTGCCGGCACAAGTTGATTCAGGAGGGGACTTGGCGGCCGATTACTATGGACATCTGAGTCGTGAAACATTTGGGTGGGAAGGGAAGTGGAAAGGGCAGAACGGATCGACGGGGTATCTCCGACAAGCCCGGTGAGCGAAGCGCAGCAAAGCAAAGCCAGGCCAGGCCAGGCAGGCCACACCTCGTACAGCACTCAAGCGCTGAGCGAGCGGAACGGTGAGAAGCAGGAAAGAACTGACGTGGGACTTGGCCGTCCGAGTTACATTGTCCGTATTACGGGCACTTTTTCTTCTCCTCGACTTTCCATGTCTGCAGGAATAACATCACCCACGGAGCTAAGGTGAGGTATGCTCACGGGCAACACGGTACACGCACACAGACCGGGCGGACCAGACGAGCATGGAGGATGGAGCACGGCGACACGGAGGGCAGGACCCAGGCATACGGGGAGACGCAAAGGATGGGGCCGGCCGTCATGACGGTGTTTGGGGATTTAATTTTGGACGACGGGACGGAGGGTTTGTGTTTGTTGAGGTTCTTTTTTGCTGTACTGTAACGGGCTGTGCTGGTGCACGGAAACGTATGTGGCTCTCTCTCAGCCCGCTGTGCTGGACAAATCCCCAATCCATGGTCCATGGCCAGACGGCGATTGTCAGGGCTCCTGTCCAGGTCTAGGCCTAGGTTGAGCTTGAGCCTGAGCCTGAGCTTGAACTTGTACGAATAGTAGCTTTGGATAGACATGAACGGCTTTAAACTTGGCGGACGGAAGATTGACGTGGGACATGGACATGGGACAAGACCGAGGGCGTGGGCGGATGGGCTTCTGGCATTGGACCAAGACACCAATAGGTAGCGTAGCCGGGGAGCCAGCTCCCGAGTCCAGAGTAAGGTGAGGTAAAACAGACCGTGGACACGTACGTCCAGCAATAGAAAGGCAGAAATAATGAGCTCTGTTTGTTGGCGTTGCAATGTTGACAACGTAAGCTCTGGCAGACGACCTTGCACCTAGAAACTCGAACCGTTTACCTCAGGCCAGAAATAGGTATAGGGGGTTCTGGAAATGATGCCCAGCCTTTTTTCTTTCCTCAGGTTTCTCTGTTAACACCCAGGTCTCGAGTCGCCCGGGGGCCTTTGAGCTCGGCCGTATTGTATTTTCCCCATCAGAAAACCAACAGCAGAAATCATGCGTTGGATGGATAAGTATCCGTAAAGGGACCGACATATTGCCCAGGACAATTTGGGTGACTAAGAATCCTCGATGGAGACGTAGAAGGAAAGAAGGAAAAAAAAACACGTGAAATGACCTCAGGAAAGGTGGGAAATGGAATGCTGTCAATCTCGTTCGTGAGCCCTGCCAAACGGACGGGAAGGTACGATGGCCTAGGATAGGGCGCGCGCGGCTGCCTTGAACCGTCATGTCACCTCACCTTTGGAAAGAGTGAGTCCACTTTGGAAATCAGTTCTTTCCCGTTCGCTTCTCAAGTCTTGCTCTTTCGCACGTCCGGTTCGCTCGGGCACAGACGCAGGGCCATACGGCACGTCCACGTCGCCCGGTTTGGGCCTCCCCCCGTTTTCCGTCTCGTTGCGTGTACCAAACCGTTGGGCTGGCAGACAGGTATCGAGATCGAGAGACAGAGACAGAACACAACGTACCAGACATGGAAGAAAGAGAGGGCACGTCAAGCGCTTAGACTGCTCCGTTTGAAAGATGCGACCCGCCGCCGGGTGCGAATGGATGGCTGGAAGGTATGGATACGCGCCGCCGCCCTCTCTCTTTCCCCAAACCCCGAAATCAAATCTCCAACTCCCCTTGTAGAATGGAAGGACGAAAAAAAAATACATACCCTCCCCCAAATATTAGAGAGAAGAAGAAGAAAAAAGCACCATCCCGCGCCGCCACGGGTCTAGCATCCCAGGGCTCCGGTGCCAGGAGAGGCTCGACAGGGTCACAGACGGGGGTACCTTGCCAAAACGAAATGCACCCTGGATCGCTGGAAAGGGCACATCGGCGACCGGTCACCGAGCATGCAGCACCGACCCAATTAGAGGCTCCACCGAAGGGAACCGCTCCAGAAGCAGAACACAGCTGCAGGGCAAGCCCCGAATTTCGAACGTGGTGGTACTGCTGGCTGGTGTGTGTTGGAGTCATTGGGGGCAGCGGAATGCGACAGGAGAGAAATGGGACAATTGCGAGTGGTTCCTGCACACAACGGTTCTATTGCGGTGATTCTGTCAATCTTCGAGTACCTGCGTATCTGTAAGGTAAGGTAAGGTAGATACGGACTCCAAGGTAAGGTGCGACTAGACACCTAGTCTGTACCTGCCCAGCATTGGTTTCCCGTTTACAGATTGCAGAGTACAAACACAGCCAAGAATGTACTATTGTATCGCGCCAAGAAGATTCTTTCTAACCTTGGATATCGAGTCTCTTCTCACACGCCTCACGCCTCACTCTCTCCAAACAGAAGAAGGTACTCCATCTTCAGACACACCTTGTCTTCAACAAGGCCAGCCATGTAGAGGAGGAGTCCCGTACCTTACTCCGTACCATACCTTAGTAGAATATGCAATGGAAAAAGGCAGGGCAGGGCAGGGCTCTCTGCAAAATAAGGCAGTGAGGAGCCTGAGGAGTCTTCGGACGGGCCTTCTCCTTGCTCACCCTCACCCTGTCCCGTCCCTCGTCCCCGTTCATCGAACCCTCGCACTCACTCACAGGCTCACTCATACAGCCCAGATCCATTCTCACCTCACCCCATCCATCCCATACCGTCCCATCCTGAGGTGTCTTGCTCTGTGCTGCCCATCACTCATCCAGGGCCACCATCCCATTACCCATCGCCCATTGCCTCGACCGTACCACTAAAGTAGATATATCGGTCCTTCCTCCATCGACGGGCTCCATCGCTCTGACCCTCCCCTCTTCTTTCTATCCTCTTTAACCTGACAGACCCATCCATCCCGAACACATTAGAATCTTCTTTCTTTTCTGTTCTTGTTGTCCCACAGCCTTTTTTTTATTGATACCTCTTTATCTATCCAGCCAGTTGCTTTGTGTGTCTTCTTCTGCTTGCACTGCAACTCCCGCCATCCATCACTGCGATACAATTTTACAAAGTATTTGGCATTCTCATCCATCGTAGTCTATCTGTACCATCAACCTACAGGTAGTGAACTACAGTGCTCTGTCTCTGTATAGAGTAGATATCTCATCGTCCTCGTCCTCCTCCGCACCAGAACAAGACCGCATTGCACTTACACGCGCTGTGTTCCTTGTCTTGTTCCCCTCTCAACACTTTTTTCTCTCATTCCGCCCAGACCACGCCTGCTGCGAACCCGGCAAGACCCCTGCACGCTAAGGCAAGAGCTAGCCATCTTGGACGCCACATTTCATCACACACCCTGGGACAGCTCGACCAGCTTCCCCATCCTAGCGCAGCGATTGGGTACAGGGCCTTCTAACTGACCCCGAAGAGAGAATTCTCACGGCAGGAGCAGCCCAGGAAGCCCAGGAAGCAGGTGCACCTAGCTAAAGCAACAAAGCGGCGACTGCTCTAAACGGCAGGCCCAGCCAACCACAGCTACCATACCCAGGCGCACACCCTGTGTGACTCCTTCCTTTTACAAAGGGTCGTCGACGTAGTGTTTTTTTTCCCACGCCTGCCGCCTGCCTCGCATATTCGCATCCATGCCTTCCGCAATCTTTCCTGATCACCACCCAGGTCCGTACAAACCACACCTCTCCAGTCCACCACCCAAGCTATTCTTTTTTTTCCTCCCCTTCTACCTCTGCACGCCCAAATCTCAACCCTTCACCACTTTATTCTTGTCTACCGCCGTCACTATCGACATATTCATTCTTGAACAAGCTTTTGAGTACTAACATACCCTTTTCCACACAAAAAGACCTTGGTCTTATACAGGCCAAGCAATCTGCTCTGGCGAAGTTGGCCATGAGCTCCAACAAGGATTCACGCGCCCCTTCGTCATCGCCTCCCTTCCACTCCAATAAATCGACCGCCGCTGCGAACTCGAAATCGAACTACCTCACTGAGCCCCAGGCACTGCCCGTTTCTCACCCTCACGATGGCCTTCTCCCGCCTCCTGCTATGGCGCACGCTATTCGATCTATGAACGACTTGAGTGGCCCGATCGCCCTCCGCGATCGCTCCTTGGTCGCAAACTCCGATACCCCTCCTGCGATGCGAAGCGTGGTTTCGACCGCTCCGAATTCCCCTAGAATGTATGTATAGGACCCCAAAAAATATTTTCAGATTGGTACCACCCCGAGGGAATACTCCTTCCCTCCTGGTGGCTGAGCATTTTACAACATCTTACACCTCATATTCTGGAGCTTGGCTAATCGAATAAACCAACAGCCCACCTGTCAGACAGAATTCTGGAGGAACCACTCCCCGCCTTCGCCCCCACCCCGCCACACTCAATGTTCCTGGCATGACCGTCTCGAGAGCCTCGCCCGACGGAAAGATTAGTGACCGCGATGTCGCTGCGAAGCTGGTTATCGTCATGGTTGGACTTCCCGCGCGCGGAAAGTCCTACATTACCAAGAAGGTCCAGCGCTACCTGTCTTGGCAGCAGTACAGCTCTACAATCTTCAATGTCGGAAATCGCAGACGCGTGGCTGCCGGCATGAGTTCGCCGATGAAGCCTGCCTACTCGCCCGCTGCCGTTAGACTCGACCCGCCGGCCCAGGCTGCTTCGATCCTGCTTAATGGTCATGCTTCCCGTGGCAATAAGGAGCCTGCGGAGCTGAACCTCAATGAGGAGAGCGACGGCATTGACCAGTCCGCCAAGTTCTTCGACCCGACCAACGAGACTGCGGCCAAGCTCCGGGAGCAGGTGGCTTTGGACACTCTGGACGAGCTTCTGGATTACCTTCTGCATCAGGGCGGTTCCGTCGGCATCCTCGATGCGACAAACAGCACTATCCACCGCCGCCAGCTTCTGGTCGATAGAATCAAGGCGCGCGAGCCCAAGCTCGGAATTCTCTTCATCGAGAGTATCTGCCACGACCAGAACGTCAGTGTTCTCACCGCGCTTGTCTCTTGAAATCTCATCTAACGTGTTTGCAGCTTCTCGAGGCCAACATGCGCCTGAAGCTTTCTGGCCCCGACTACAAGGACAAGGATCCTCACCAGTCTCTTGCTGATTTCAAGAGACGTGTCGCCGCCTACGAGAGCGCTTATGTTCCTCTTGGAGAGTACGAGGAGGCACACGACATGCAGTACATTCAGGTATGTTCAAGCCGTGGCGCAGAGCAACACAAGTCGCTAACGCGCTGCCAAAGATGATTGATGTTGGCCGCAAGCTGGTCCAGTATAGATTGCGGGGCTTCCTGAGCGGCGGCATCAGCTCCTACCTGACGACATTCAACCTTGCGCCGCGCCAGATATGGTTGACCCGGCATGGACAGAGTGTCGATAACCGCAATGGAAAGCTCGGCGGAGATTCCGACCTCACCGCCGACGGAGAGCTCTACGGACAGGCTCTCCACCGATTCATGACCCAGAAGCGCAAGGAGTGGCTCATTGAGCAGAAAGATAAGATCGCTCAGTCGTCATTCCCGCCTAAGGCCGGCGACCACACCCCGCCGTATCCCGAGCTGAATCGGGAACTGGACGAGAAGAATTTCTGCGTCTGGACCTCGATGCTTAAGCGCAGCGTGCAGACGGCACAGCAGTTCGACAATGATGACGACTACGACGTCAAGGCTTGGGCGGTGCTGAACGAGCTCAACGCTGGCCTCTTTGAGGGCATGACGTATGAGGAGATCGCCAGAAGATTCCCTGCCGAGTATAAGAAGCGCGCTGCGGATAAGCTCCATTACACCTACCCGGGTGTCGGTGGAGAAGGATATCTCCAGGTTATCGCTCGCTTGCGCGATATAGTCCGCGAGATTGAGCGTATCGAGGATCACGTTCTCATTGTTGGACATCGCTCGGTCTGCCGTGTGCTCATGGCTTACTTTATGGATTTATCCCGTGACGAGATCGCCGACTTGGATGTTCCTCTGGGCATGCTCTACTCTATCGAGCCTAAGCCCTACGGCTACGACTTCCACGCGTACCGCTACCTGCCGGAGAAGGGAACGTTCATCGAGCAACCCAACTACCGCCCGCAGCGCACCGTTAACCGCGACGCTTGAGATCAGAGCCAAAGACAAGCTTTGACTGTATCATATGACGACCTGTACAACACGAATGGAATTCCGGAAAGGAGTTTTGGGCGTTGAGGAAAACTCAACTACGACCACGATTTTGCTCATTTTTTGGAAGGGGGGACTTTTTTCTTTTTTGGAAGGGTGTGGGAAAATACGATCCCACACACATGATTTGCTCTTACTTGCTACTACTTGAACCAGGGACTTCTTCAACCTCGGAGGCGGGAAGGGGATTGAAGCATTTGCTCGGCGTTTGGGAATCCAATACGGCCATCTGACGAAAGAGGTCAAAAAGATACCCATGACGCAAGGATTCACGAGAGACATAGCTGGACGGCCCTCTCATTGCTCAATTTTGCAAGGCTTGTTCACAAACACAAGCCATTACGTTCTTCTAGGCAGATAGGAGACAAAAAGTCTATCACATGAACATGCTGTACCTGCCTATTCGGTGAAGTGATGTTGAATGATGGTGTAGTGTCCAGAGATCCCTGGGATCTGACTAAACAGGCTTTCCTTCCCGAAGATCTGGATGGGTTGACTACCAAACTGACAATCTGACGTTGCCTTTGTTGCGTGTCACTGCACTGTCTAGGCTCGGGGCCGACATCCTGTAGGAATGACAGACAGTGGAGGCTCCGCCGAGGTGCACTAGCGTCCGTCCGGCAGATGTAACCATAGAACCAACCCATGGGTAATGCGATGTGATGTGACAGGACAAGGGGGGGGGGACCGTTGTTTGTTTCTTTGGCATGTCTTGTTCCTGACAAGCCTCTAGTACGTAACGTAGGGCGGCGGGATGGGAAGGTGCTGGGTTGGGGTGATGTGAGGAGTGTGGCGTGACACACACGCACAACCAATCCAGATCTGCCGCGGGTGTGCTCGGGAGAGCTGCACCGGGTGAAACTCGGCGTTGGTTGAGGCTCAAAGGGCTTGGCGGTGTCCCCCCCCCCCCCCCCCCCCCCCCCCCCCCCCCCCCCCCCCCCCCCCCCCCCTCTCTCTCTGCGCCGGTCGGTGTGTCGTGTGGGTGGGTGGTGGGGGGGCGGTGGGGGGGGGGGGGGGGGGGTGGGGGTGGGGGGGGGGGCCCCCCCCCCCCCCCCCCCCCCCTTATTCGTTGGCGTCCCTTTGTCACGAGGTTTGGCGGTCCGGTTTGTGATATTCGGGCCGAGGGTTTCTACGAGCGGCGGGTTTCTGTGGCTTGGGTTTGGCGTTGTGGTTTGATATGTCGTCGGGTGATGTTGATAGTGGGTTTGGGGGTTGAGGACCAGTGGTGTGATTGTGAGGCAATCTCGAGATTGGGCGTATCTAACAGAGAGATGGGTTTCCGATTGTGAGGCTTGGATCTTCCAAGATAGTAAGGCCCTGAATCAGGATAGGAGATGTTTTGGAAGCAACGCGTGGACCACCTCAGGCGCTGGGTTCATGATCGTGATCACGTTCTCTCCTGTCGAAGCTTGAAGACGCTCCACAGGGCTTGGGAATCTGTAGGCCTTCGCAATCGTCACATCAGGGACTTTGGGTTCCGGGCATCCGCTTTGTATGTATCTGTAAGCGGTACTGCTCTGAGCATCCTCGGCTACAGCCAGTAGGAGCTTCTTCACCGCTGCGGGGAAGCTCGTACGAAAGCCCACGATGCTTGGGTCTGCTCCGGCTGTTTCCCCCTTCCTTTCCATCGTTCTACTCTATTTCTCAAAAGTGAAGGAAGTTCCGATAGCTTGGGTTGGTCAGCACTCGCCTCGGTAGATGTTGTGTCCATGAGGCCTCGATGGCATGATCGAGGCGAAGCCTGTACTCTGTTGTTCCTTAGCAACCTTACGTACGTGTTACACTGCAGACATGATTTCGATCAGGAGCAGGGCAAACCAGCGACCCCGGGGGGGTTTTCCGTGTTGATATTTTTAGTATAGTAGGCAGCTTGAATCAGTACGCCGAGTCCCGGCAAGAGCCAGAAAGCTGCCTAGCAATGATCATCAAATAAATTCGGCTAGGTTACCCGGTATGACTTTTGTCCCCCACCCTTGTGGTATATTTAGTTCTGACCGCGCCAGAGACATACGTTCAGGATTACCTTGCTACTGAGTCGCTTGCTTGCTTGCACCACATTCCCCTACATCGCTGAGTAGTTTGCATTGAGAGCGGAATGCAAGACACAGTCCAGCCTAACTAAACCACCGTTCAGTGCCAAGCTCTGCTCGAGGCGTGTTCTGAGTAGAATAACCTACGGCGGTACGACGCATGGGATTGTTGGGTTCCATTCGCTCTAAGAGTAAAACTGTCATGGTCGACTTACTCGGCATGGTATGCTTGATACACCGTCACCAAGGCCATTGATCCTAAGCACGACGGGTCAACAGCTATCTCGGGCAGCTTGACTGAGCCTGACGACAATGGTCTTGAAATTCCCAAGCCAGCTGGAAAATTGCCGTAAATACCCCTAGAAAGTATCCGGCTTCGCTGGCTGACCAACAGTCTGTCCGAAGAGGAGCCCAGCCCCTTGTGTCAATCCAATCAGCCTACCAAGGCAGGTGAGGGGATGATTGGACTCCTGTCCGCTCAAGTCTATGGATGGAAGCTTGCTACCGCCTGAACATTTTCGTGATAACTCTGAAGCTGAGGAGACTGACGAAAGTGGTATTGAGGACTACTCGGTCCGTAAGGTAAGCGAATCCTCGTCGGGAATATGACCGAGTCCCCCAGCTTCACACGGTGCTGCGAGCTTGAAGACGAAGGACGGCTCTGATGCCTACTTTGAGCAGCGATTGGGAGCAGCCTGGTAACAGTCCTCGAGGACAAAGCTATTGCTAAGAACCTATATGTGTGTCCCAGCCTGGAATCGAGCTAGGCGGAAACCACCAGACTTCAAAAACATTCGAGCGGCCAGCACTCCCAGAATCTCGTGACACCTTTGTAGTACAGAGATCTTCTCTCCGTATGCCTGACGTCCGGTGAGCCGTATACATCAAAAAGCCCAGAAATCTATGCAAGCCCCAGACGATCCTAGAAGTTTAGCTGTAGGGGCGGGCTTACTTACCATCTTCAAACCCAGCCGGAACCGTCACTGGCATCGTTAGAGACAGGAGGCATGTGGACACAGACATGGGCTACTATATGTTGCATGTTGTGTTTCAATGTAACACAGGAGCTATGATACGCCGAGGGGCTGCTAGAAGTTGTTCTCCAAACGCTGGATCCGGCGTAGCTTTGTCTTGCTCACACCTTCTCTCCGCCCGCCGGTTTCGCTAGACACGCCGTCGCCCTGTTATCTACAAGATTACATGTACCTCGCTCCCTCTCGTTATATCCCAGAACTTATCTACTAGTCATGTACAATACGTGGCGGACACCGCCCAAAGCTGACAAGCAGCAGATGGCAAACTGAATCTCGATTATTTCTACTGTTCTACGAATGCCCGGCCATATGAGATCTTTCTCCCTGGCGGAGGCGAGACACCGAGCAGGCAGAGAAACCTACTACCTCCATGATGACGTGGAACACTCCGGGTGGCCAGCACACTCCTGCTGGGTTGCGAGGAAGAGGCGAAAGCATACCTCTATATAGTACTCTGAGGCAACGGGCCACGAATGTCAATGTCCAAACACTCCAGCAGCACGAGAGATGCCACGAGTGCTTCGTATCGTAATAGAAACGTGGTATTAATAAAATACATATGCCAGGCAAGTGCTGTATCATCATTATCACTTCAAGAGATTTTGGGCCAGAAGTTGTTATGAACAAATTTACTATCGTTTCACATATTTACATAAAGCAAAATGGTATAAGCACCAGACCACAAGCCACTCATCCATTGACCAAATGACTCGACCAAAGAACAGCAGTATAACAAAACGCAAAACAGAAAAAAACCGACAAGCCAACACAATATTTGTCGCTCATAAAGCACGGGTTTTTGAGGGTATCAAACAAGACACCTTTTTGTAGTGTAGGGTATTTCCAGGAATTCCAATGTCTCCCCTCCCACACGCCTTTTGTTTTTGACCCGATTCCCTTTAGACCTTGCGGTCACTGTAAAACATCATCTCTTTTTTTCTTCTTTTCATAACGCTTAGCTCCTTCTGTTAACGACGGAAGAGTGTTTAGGCCTGAACAGGCTTGATCTGAGTAAAGATCTCGCCGGCGGTGCGCTTGACGATACCACCAGTTACGGGCAGGCTGGTGCACTGCTCGAGGAAGAGATCGATCTCGCGGGCGGCCTGTCTGCCCTCGTTGATACCCCAGACGATGAGGGACTGGCCACGGCGGCAGTCACCAGCGGCAAAGACGCCAGGGATGTTGGTGCTGTACTTGCCAGGCGGGGTCTTGACGTTCTTGCGGGCATCCTTCTCAATGTCGTCACCAAGGATGCGGGCCTCGGGGCCGAGGAAACCCATGGACAGGAGGACGAGGTCGGCAGGGAAGAACTGCTGGGAGCCCTCGATCTTCTTCATATCCCAGCCACCGGTCGCGGAGCGAGTCCACTCAACGCGGATGGTGTTGATGCCCTTGACCTTTCCAGAGCCATCGTCGACGAACTCCTCGGACATAATGCAGAACTCACGGGGGTCCTTGCCCATGTGCTGCTTGACCTCGGTGTGGCCGTAGTCAACACGGTAGATGCGGGGCCACTGGGGCCATGGGTTGTCGCGGGCACGCTCCGGGGGAGGCTGGGGAAGCAGCTCAAAGTTGATGACAGACTTGGCACCGTGACGGACGGAAGTACCGATACAGTCGTTACCGGTGTCACCACCACCAATGACAACGACATCCTTGCCCTTGGCGGAAATGTAGGATCCATCCTCGAGCTCAGAGTCGAGCAGGGACTTGGTGTTCTTGTGCAAAAACTCCATAGCGTAGTGGATTCCCTCGAGCTCGCGACCCTTGATGGGAAGATCACGGGCAACGGTGGCACCAGTAGCGATGACGACGGCATCGTTCTCAGCTCTGAGGTCCATGAGCTGGATATCCTCGCCGACGGCAACACCGCACT